TGCCTAGAAGACTTTAGATTCCGTTACGAGCACTAATGCTTCCTAAACAAACTTGTTTCATCAAGATTCGCAACATGTTGGACAATGTGATGCACTTCTAGATGGCACAGGATGCTACCAAAACCTGTGACAGTTTATATATGTTTGTAAAACTAGATTTTGAGAAAGCTTGTGATAGACTAGATCATTCTTTTGTGTGAGATACAATGACAAAGTGCGGGCTGGAAGAGCATTTTGTCAGACTTGTTAAAGTATTCACCCAAGACGCTTCAACGGCAATTCACCTAAATGGCTTCAAAACCTTTAGAATTCCAGCAGCAAGAGCAGTACGTCAAGGTTGTTCACTAGACGCCAATTGTTTGCCCTTGTAACTTAGCCATTGATGACACAATTCAAAATTAACTTTCAACACGGCAAACTTTGTGGATACAAAATAGGAAATAGTTTTTTACTACATTTATCATTTTTTGCCGAAAACGTGAATGTTTTTATGAATGGCTCGCAAACTTTATATGCCAAATTATGTCATGTTCTAGCAAAGTATGAAGCAAGCAGTGAAACATCTGAACTTGACTAAATCTTCCATTCTGCTTCCTTGGTATGGATAGACCACCAGATTGAATATAAACTACAGTGTGCATGTTGATGGAAAGTAATAATAAACAAACACCTAAAAGCACCTACAAACTCAAAGTATCAACATTTAGAAGAAAAAAATTCTGCACGCAGAAGCTGATTAATACACTTAGAGGTTAGCATTCAAAACTTCTATCATTTGAATCACGTATTACCTTGTTACAATTTGCATTACAAGCCCAACCTATGTTTTACACTTCCATCATGCGGTTTTCTACCTCTACCTGTAAAAAAATAAAACAACTTTACAGGCAATTTGTTTGAGGTTACAGCACAGAAGGAGCAGCAAAACTATCACTCATTCGATGGGAGATATCCACGAGATCAAAGGCATAAGGAGATCTAGGAATCAGAAGCATATCCGATTCCAACACTTCCCTCATGGAAAAATAGATCGGCTCTATAAAAGATGGCAAAACGTCAATATGGAGCTGTGCATTACAGGAGATAGTCAAGTGCAATTGTAGGTAACATCCTAAGAAATTAGTACTAAGTCACTATAGTCTACCAGATCTGATATTTACGGATCAGCCAGTGATGGCAGAATTGAAAAAATTCAATATCATGCAAATATCATATGCATGAAAAAAGAAGTAAATACTCAGAGTTGCATACATCCAAGACGAACAGGAATACATCATCAACATTTCCACCTTGTCCAACTCTTTTTGCGTAGATTTTTCACATCCAAGGATCCAAGCAGCTGCACATTTAGATCAAGTGAGGGATGGAATCTAAGGAAAAAACCCGTAGCATGTAGCTTCACAGTAGTAGCAAAAGAGTGGTATAGAGAAAAATCACATAACATGCCAACAGCTAAAATCCTCAACCACAAATGGGGCACCTTCAAGTTAGAGGAAGAGTGCTACACGTTCTTTCATCAACTCTAGAAAAGCCACAATGTAAATAGATGTAAAAAATTTGTGTGGAGTATCCTCTAGCAAGGTTTCTACACCAACAAGCAAGCGCATAGAATCGGACATGGAAACGTATGCTGCCGAAGAGGATGCAACTCTTCGGAGACTGTCCAACAAATCTTCTTTGATTATTCCTTTGCTCACAAGGCTAGTCAGCAGTATCACAATTAAGGTGGTGTATCTCACCACAAGAAAATATCTTCAAGACGGCTACATCATTCATACATCTCCTCGAACTCAGCGTGCAAAACCAACAAAGTACACATTCTACAACTCAATGGATGTTGACTACAGAGATATGCAGACCTCCATGTCTCAGTAGAAATCATTTCCTGTATGAGCATTTCCTGTATAAGTCTTTATGCTAGACTTAGAAATACTATAGAAAACGCAATAGCCATATGGAAAGAAAGTACAAATTCTACTCCCTCCACACATATGCTTGGGACTGCAATATAGGTAGTGCAATTCACACAAGACTAGAACGGTGGCTAAAGAAGAAACTAGAAAAATTGGATGTAACAACCGGATGTTTGGAAGCCCTCCACACAACGAGAGCAGCAAATGGATTGGACATGACACAACATTCTCACATGATAGGGAAACACCAAGCTTGAATTACAATCTTAACGATGTCACATGTACAAATCTAAACACAAAGACTCAGCCGGCACTGCATTTTTTGCAACAATGTCCTAAGTAAGGCTAGAAAAAGAGGGGACTGTAAACGAAAAGTCTGGTCTTCTTCTTGCCCCTGCTCTGCCTCGCCTTGCATGAATGTTTTTATAGGGGCATGGGTACTTGAGCCCTTGCCCTTGCAGTTTGACTGTGACAAGTTGTGGACCTGAGCATTGTACATTTCCGAAATGATATGTTCACTGATTGGCGTGGCCATCAGCGCATTTTTGCTCCTCTATGGGTAGACTTTGGTCTCAAGGTAAGATGACTAAGATGTTTATACTCTGTCTCCCTGTCATCAACTGGGAGACATGGTTTGGGTTATAAAACTTGAAACCATTTCAATCAGAATGCCATGTTTCACATTCAACTCGAATTTGAAAAAGTTCTACAAGAATTTCTTTTTCATTTTCTTAATGTATGCGATAGGCTTGCCAAGTTGTTTCCAAATGTAACATCGGTTCGAATCTACATCTCTATCAGAAGACAAGACAGAAAGAGTACTTCTTCACCGACGGTAGGAACATTAAATTGGTGCGTGTATGTATTCGAAACTATTAGAACAGAACTATTATTGACAAAAAATAATGACTTGAAATTGTTCATGCCAAAATGCATTTTCTTACATAACGTATTTTGGCTAGCTTCGCCTTTGTCAAAAAGTCTAATTCCGTTCTTACACCCATCATCATATTTCAATTGCGTTTGTCATCTGAACAACGACGTCTACGTTTAGTTACCATGTGTCCGTTGTTAACATTACTCAGTGATGGACATATATTCATCATTGAATATAGAGTAACATGTACTCATATCATTGTATACCTTTCAAAGTGACAGAAAAGAAATCACATAATCATGAAGTTTAGTAGGTATTGCTGACAAGTGTCTAATCTTTATTCATATACTGTACAAGTATAGTTTCATGGCCTAGAATTTAAATCAAAATATTGCACACGGACATTGTTATATATTTTGATATAATTTTAGTCACACTTAGATAATCAAATGCACATGAATTATCTTTGGTATTTAGATACTGATATGAGTTATCTTTGAATTTCTAGATTCTGATACAAAAGGATTCTTACCTCCGAAAGTAAATTCGATCACTGATATGTACAATTATAAGCTCATAGTTCCTTACAAGCACTTCAAATCCTGATACCCAGGCCTCTTCAAATATGGCATTTGGGGGTGCTATGCCATATTTGTCACAAGTAATTTTGGCGTGATGCCATAAATAAGAATGGAAGTCCAAGTCTCCTTTCGCTCTTGTTCACTATTAAAACGTTTTTGTTCTCTCTTCTTCGCTGTTGACGTTGATGAAATGTCTTCAAAGAAATGTAGAAGCCATGATCTCTTCGCTGTTGACGTTGATGAAATGTCTTCAAAGAAATGTAGAAGCCATGATCTCTCTCTCACATACTTGACTATGGGCTGAAGATCTTCACGTATGGTGTCGTTACATGGGGTTTTCGTAACTTTTTGCCAAGTATGAGCGGTGAAAAAAAATAATCGACATGAAGCCAAGGTCCGGCTAGAATCACAAAATACTTTAAGGTTCCACATTGACTAGAGCTGGAATCAAAACATCTTGAAAGTCAACACTGTAAGCAAATATGGAGTGAATATCATGCTCTGAAATTACACGTCAAGCAAACTTTCTTTGAATACTATCTAATCATTTTGTTGCGTACTATGATCCATTGTGTGTGGATAATAACGTAAACATAGTTGACACAATTCTACTGCCTTTTATTTGATCCCAAAATTGAGAATGTATTCATTGATAGAATGAGAAAGAGAAGATATACTTTGCAAAACAGTGGATCAAATGCCAGAATCCGTGGAATTTGATGAAACATGGATTACTTTTGAACTTAGATTTTCCAAACTATGTGTGTGGAGGGTGATTTCTCCATGATTACCTAAGAGAAAGGTGAGTATATATCTTCCATAATTATATTGTCACTCTAGTAAGCCTACATTATAAGCAATTCAAGCAAATTAAAATTAGTGTCATATTTGTCATAAATAAAAATTGGCTGATGCCATAATAGACTAAGTTATGACAAATTTGGCAAATGCCAAGTTAGCAGAGGCCTGCTGATACCTGATAGAGAGCGCAGTAGCGTAATGGAGATGCACAGATGAAGTTCATCGCAAATTGCAAGATTCTGATGTGATGAAGAATTTCGATGTTTTACAAGGAGCAAAACATCACGATGTCATTAGATTGTGGATAGTCCTGTTTGTTACTTAGTTACATAAATATGGGTCATGACTTTGGCAATACCAAGTTGAATAGAGCAATTGAACATGTTAAGTGAAATACCTCCAAACCCTTCCTATGACATTGGAATAAATGGAGCAAATAGAAACTTCTACACTTCATTGAACTGGCCTCCAAAAATGATCTCACATCCTAGGACAACTGAGGTGGAAGTCAGTTAGCTCTTCTTTGTGACAAAGCTGAATGCTCACAACATTGGGCGTTGATACTTCTTTCAGAGACATCTACTGTATTACTCATTATTCACCATCCACCACGCCTGACTCTTCCAGTACTGCAAGTTATCCAGAAAAAAACTCACCGGAAGGAGTAAACCAGATTAGTGCAGATGTCCATATCGGTATCATATACAAAACACGGCGCAATAATCCAACCGGGAGGTTACAAACAGTATATTAAAAACTGAATGAGACATACGTTACCCAAACGACATACACAACAGGTTGAGTACTCAGCTTTTTGCAGAAAGTCAGCCAGAAGGAATCCCATACACATAGAGAATATCCACTGTAACCAAAAAAGCTCAATAACTTTCTTGCCGGAATTGCACCTGGGTGGAAGAAAGGCATGGAGTACCAACCTTTACAGTACCGCAGTAATTTAGTTAAAATGCTGGGTTGACAAGGCAATAAACTATCACCTAATTGAAGCGAGTATACAGGAGGAGATAGGGGATGAGAGGCAAAGGGATTTATAGAGACCCGGGTCAAGTTCACTCGACTTGCAAAACTGGCTGAGGGGTAAATCTTAAGACTCGTGCGAGACAAGACACCTGAGATTTTAAGTGCCCAAATATTGCCTAAACATTTAGACAACGCAAAACTCAACACGTATGTCACATTACGAGCCACAATCATATTTGATTTAATATCTCCATTATGCTGTAAGCTCCATAATTGCGCTAACAATATCTCCTCTGGGCACTGTTGCCTTGAGGGCAGCAACGGCTCTAGCCCGGGAAACTCCGGCCTGGGTCATAACCAATTCGATATCCTTAGGTTCAACACCAGTCTCGTCGACCTCCTCTTCGTCCTCAGCCTCCGACGCTGCTGATGGCTCGGCCTTAGCTTCGACGTGGCTCAAGTCTGGGTTCTTGAACTGTTCAGCTGCTTGCGATTGAAGCTGTGAGCTCAAATCCTCAATCTTGGCCTCTCCAAAGATGATGTGGGTGTCTGATGCAGGGCTCTTGAAGACATCGGGCTTGGAGATAACAAACAAGATCTGAACAAACCCAAGTGCAGAATCCACAGACCATATCAATCAATATATCTCCGTTATTGAATTCAGTGTAAACTGTACATAGCAGCCTCAGGGAGTCGGGTCCTCTAATACGGCTGTTAAATCTACAGATATAGGTTTGGTTAATGTACAATACTCCATACAAAGAGCGCACGCTCTTGGGGTGAATGTTCATTCGAAACGCATTGAACCGCAGGTAAGAAGTACAAACAAGAGATTAATACGAGAGCCTTCTACGAAGCTAAACGCATGCTTCAACCTTCATAACTCAGCTTGATCATCCCCAGGAACTAGCTTGGTGCATGATTTATAATTCATTCGTTAGTTAAGGAGCGGATTGCTAGCCCAATCTAGACAATGAGAATAGTAAGGAGGATGACGGAGAGCCCGTGAGTAGCTTTTCGTTCACAGAAAAATCGACAGTCAGACAATATCTTCGAGGAATGAGCGGTGCAATGACGTGAGTAATGGAGGAAAAGAGACTTACGTTCTTGCTCTTCTTGATTGTAACTCGGGTAACGCCGGGAACGGGCTTCATGCCGAGCTTCTGCATGGCCTTCCTACTCTTCTTCTCACTCCGACTTTGCTTGGACTTACCGGTTCCTGTGACCAGACACGAGCGATTTAGGGCACAGATACACCAAAACCTTTCTGAAAATCTCAGTCGTGAGCTGCATATTGACGATGCGGCGTTTTACAACTGAAGGGTGTTACAGCTGAAGAGGAATATACAACACATCACTCAGACCTATCTCTGAAGTTTAGACATGAAATGTCAATTTCGACATTTTCGAAATCTCTTCTCTTGACAAATAGCAGTTCCCGAACACAATGTGTCGAGAGCGTAGTGGCAAGCACCCAATTCGACCACGCGACATTCCAGGCAGCTGAACAAAGAAAGATCGTCCATGGCGTGAACTGAAAATAAAAGCAGGGGCACACACAATCAGGCTGCGTCAAACGTACCATCTGCAGCGGACTCCTCTAGGTCGGGAGCGTCCTCATCATCGTCATCCTCATCATCCTCATCATCATCCTTGTCGTCTTCAATAATGGGGTCGTCAGACTGCTCGAAAATAGGGCAACAATCAGATCCGAAGAAAATGCAGCTCAAGAAATCGCGCAGTCGCCAACGATATCTCAAAAAATGCGAGAAACAATTCCACCGCCACCGTTCAGCGAGCCACAATTCACCGTGCCACGCACGAAATGCTGCAACAAAAATCCATCGTGGGAAACTCGAAAGGCGCACAGAAGAAAACTTACGTGGAGCTTTTGCTGCTCCAGCTCCGTGGCAAGATCGGCGGCGGTTTGTGCTGTCATCTTAGCTCAAATTGACGGGTGCGAAAATGGACCTCCGCAGCACCAAACCCTTACAGCAGCAGCGACAACAACGAGCAACTGCACGCAAAGAGAGAAGAGAAGCGCATCGGAACCTTGTTGAAAGTAGAGCGTCGAGGCCCGAGGGCCGGCCTTCCCTCCGTCCGATGCTCGCGATCTAACGGCTCCGCCCGCCACAGTCCTAATCCTCATTCCATGCTCGGAACATGGAATTTGGCCTAGCCCTGACCTAAATGCATCACACTCGCCACAAAGCGCCCCTTCCCCTAAACCGCTGCCCTCGCTGTCTCGGCCTCCATCAATTCCCCACGTCCGTCCGCGGACCTCGCCCTCCGCCTCCAAACAGGAGCTCCGCTAACTGGCCTCCTTCGCAGCTGTTCGCCGCTAAATCCAGCCCTTATCTTTTAGACGCCTTCGCGCACGGACAGACAGATTTAAGCACAAATCGTGATTTTCTCCCTCCTCCTTATTCTTCCCCCGGATTCCATGACATCCACATTCGTTATGTCACACTTTTCTTTACTGATAGGGACGATTGCGAGCTACGGAGGCTCGGCATAGGTTTTCTTTTTCGTTGAAGGTGCCTACAAACTACCACCGAACTTCTAGTTTTTAAACCCTTTTTTTGTTTGTTGTTTTTGTATTTTTGTTTTCTTTTTGTTTTTCAGATCCACATGATTCAGGCAGAATAATAGGAATGAGGCAAGTGTGATGCTGACGGGGTTTAGTAAGATATTTGGTACAACACATGCTGCTGATTTCAGAACTGTCATTTTCAACTATATCATGGGCGATAATTTCATGTAGCGGTTGATTTGAACACGAATTTGGTCCGTATAGAAGGTTAGTCTCAAATCTCTAATCGAGAACCCAATGTACTCGTGTCCTGACCTTCTATTTCGCATTATCCCTTGCCACGATTGAGTAGATTGATGAAAATAATTTTTAAAAAAATAAAGGTCATATTTATAATTATATTATAATATTCATATTTTAAGAAATAAAATTTTTTTAATTAATCCAAATATGTTTAAAATATAAAAATCCAAAAATTTAATTTTAATTTTAACTTTATTATTTATCATACTTATCTATATTATATATAAAAATTCAATTTATAATAAATTTCAAACCTTTTACACATTAAATTTTATATTTATGTAATTATAGAAAGAAAAATAAAATAAAATACATTTTTATTTTTATATTATATTTTGTATCCAGTGTTGCTATTATTCAATCATATTGTTTCACTTTATTTTTCACTTAATCAATTTTTTTTTTAAATTATATAAATTTTTATAATTAAACTGCTGATGAAATATCATTTTTTATTTATCATGTTGATTAAATATTTGTTGGCTTATTTTAAATAATCCAAAATTTCCTGAAAAATATTTTAGATTTCAATGAAAATGATGTATTTCCATATTCCAAAAAAAATACATAGCAAATTTTTAATTCTGAACAAAATTAGGAAAATGAAGCATAACTATTTAGAAATTACATTTTTTATGATCCTATAACAATTTTGGTTTGGTAAATTCGTTTCAGGTTTGAATGAACAACATTATTATTATAAAAACCCCATGGAGTGTCACTACTAATAAATAATTTTAGTAGTGACTTTTCATTATTTATGATAAAAAAACGCGTTGGATTTTTGAATGGGGGGATTATAGTCTTCGTGCCCGGTTAACATTCACAACTACAGAGTTTACATTTTGGACATCAGTCAATTTTAATTCAACAATATTATAGTTATGATTTGTTTATTTATTTATTTATATTGAGCAAATATAAGATTGTCAGTATAAGGTTTGAGATCTGTACAAAGATAATTCATCTTCTAGTCATTCTAAATTTCAACTTGGGCAATACACAATTTAGACCTCAAAATTCAAAATGAAATAAATAGATTCACAAATTGGCAAGATAGGGTTTGATACGATATGAGTTATCAAAAGTGATTATAGGTAAACTTTGATGAAAACCAAACCAGAAATAATGGATACATATGGATTTGACCTCCTGATTAACTCTAGTCTAGATTTAGATTCGTCATTTTGGTTGTGTGGACCTTCTATCATGTGATTAATCAGTTTTCTTTTTAGTACTTGATTTCAAAATTAAATTTTGCTTGTGACAATGAGATTTTTAGTGTTAACATAAAGCATATATATATATATATATATATATATATAATTTATTTAAAATTAATGTTTTGATAGATTCAAGCATACATAGATTCAAGTTAGAAGTATATTTGATGTGGGAAAAAAATTATTATATATTGAATTATTAGATAAAGAAATATTTAAATGAAATAGTAAAAATATTTGCTTGAGTTGCAATATATGAGATAAAATCATATTACACGATCACAAACATAAAACTCTATACATGCTAGAAGTCATTACCATTTTCTACGAAATAAACTTTATAACATTTAAAATCAAGATGACTAATGTATCTTATTTGATATTATGATAAGTGAATATTAGATACTTCACATTTCTTCGCAATAGTAACTTGTTATCTGACTTAAGTAAAATTGTGTAAAAATTGTATAAACAAACATCATAGTATAGCTTTTGAAGTTGTAGTTCATACAAATAATTATGTAAAATGGTTGTATTTAACAAATTTATTTGAGTATATATATAGGGACGTTTAAGTAGTTTTTTGAAAATTTCATTTTAAGAAATTACACTATATATATTATATTTAAATTAAATAGTCAAGATTTTTGTAAATATATTTAATTAATATAAAAATCCAAGGTCTAAAATGTCTGTTGTCCAAGTTGAAACCTAGAATAACTAGAAAATGGGTTCTCTCTGTATAGATATGAAAAATATATCTATTGAAAAAAATTATAAATTATTGCAAATAAGAAATAATAATTTTCATGTCATGATGTATTATGATTTGCAATAAACAACTATCTTTGAAAATTTGAATGAAATAATGTTACAGATGGTGCTCTATATGTTAAACTAATTTGATTTATTATATAAATTTTGGATTGAATTTCTAAACAATGTAATATTTTTGATAATATTTTTCTATAATGAATTTTTGAATTATATATGAATCAAAACACAAACATGATTTTTGATTATAGTTGTTTTATATTTTATTGTTAACACTTTAATTTTGTCATTGTAACACTATGGATCAAAGAAAGTAACTCATTAGAATATGGAACACAACTCTCCAAATGAGAGATAACTATAAGGAATTTACTCTTATTTATATATATCTTGTCAACAAGGACAAGGAGATAAAATCTCACCTTCACTATACTTTTCATTCCTAGTGGATTAATTATATGGCAGATACCACAAACAAACATACGGATTCTTGATGTGTAACTCGCACTAACACATTCAACATAATGTAACAAAAATATTGATTGCTAAACTTGTCAACAAACACACTTACTCTCAACTTATCAAGTACACTGATAGTTCATGTGTCAACTATAAATAGTGCATTATGATATGACTATAATTTTATTTTAAATAACATCTATTTTAGTTTAATTAACTGAAGATATTTAAACATACATAATGAGAATAGAATGAATGTAGTTGAAATATTGTAAACTTCTGAAATCAAGTAACTTACAAAGTAATTGTAAATAGCAATGTTACTTTTGATGACTCTATATTGTTAAAAAAGAAAAGAAAATAAGAATCTTCATAATTACAAGAAAACATCTTCAGTAATTGTCAATATGAATATTTTTTAATATGGATTTGTGAATCAAAAATCAAAAATTTTGTATTTACAATAAAAAATATTCACTTATTGATGTTGTTAACATAACTTTTATGATTATAAATTCAATAATGTCACATAAATTAAAGCTCCAAAACATACAAATATATTTTTGAAAGCAGAAATTAATAAAAAAATGTATGGTTGATGAGACTCAAATAATTTTATTAAACAATAAAAATCAACCCAAATTTTCTATTACAAGATAATCAAATTGGGTTCATGCATCCAAGAATAATGATGACATTTTGTTTATTTTAAAAGAATTAATTTTTAATATATACAAAAGAAAAAATAATAAACTTTAATATATACAAAATTTATAAAGGTTTAATTGAAAGAACTTGATTGCATCAATGCTTTGGAGCATAAGATGCAATTGCTAGTGAAAAAAAAGATTTGATAGTGAGTGAATCAACCTTTGATTGATAGAATGTGTATATACAAGCTAAAGTACAAAACCACATGAGAAAAAATTTATTTTCAAAACCAGATTGACAGCCAGAAGTTTCATAAAAAAATGTGTAAATCACAACAAATTTTTTTTCTATCATAGCAAATTTTGCTACGAAATGACTTGTATGTGTAGTTTTTTACATTTGATATGTTTATGGACCATATGAGATAGTTATATCAGTTATTCATGTATCTTTGGAGAATAAAATCTACATGAGATTAGCAATTGATTTTGGAAAATATGAAAATAAGTTGGTTTGTAGATTGCTGTTTTTTTTTGAATTGATATAAGATTACAGATAATCAAATCAAGAATTTGATGAATTCATAAAAGTACAAGATTTTTTGGAAGTGTGCTTGATCCATATGTATACATTTACAAGTTAAGTAATGAAGTTTTCAATCATATTATTCTAATATTTTAGATAAATGATATGTTCATTTTTGCAATGAATAATTCAAGGTCAATTTATGCAAGTATTATATAAAGTTTATACTTAAGATGAAGTATGTGGATGTATTCAATATAATATTAACTACGTATGTTCATAGAGATTTGAAAAACAAGATTAATTTTAAGTGAAATCAAGAATAATCAACGCTTGTTTGATTTGGTAGTATCTACAGGATTTTGAACTTCAATTATTATAGCTTTGAAACACTATGTAGCTTTACGTTCAATCAATATCATTAAGAAGTAAAATGTGTCATCAATTATTTATGACATAGCAGTGTATACTCTCTTGTAGAAATTGTGAAGTAGATTTTCATATATCTTGAAATTACTTAAGATTATGGTTAATTTTAATATTTATTAGAGAATCAA